ATTGCCTCACATAGAAGCAAACCAAGTCAATATTTTGACTGGGTATAGAAGACATAATAAATGATCGTGTTCATTTGAGTCTTAGGGGAGGAAACATTTTATCTATGAAGCTCCCAGTAGCAGACAAAAATATATGTTACAAGTGTCAGGTAGAGATGTTATAAAAGTGCCTTGTAACAAATACCCATAATATCCTAAAGGGATATTCCTAGTGAGCAGGCAGTAACTTGTCCTAGAAGGTAACAGCAGGCAGGGAGGAATTTCAGCAATGCTTCCAATTGCTACATCTTGCTGTCTGAAAATGTAAAGGCACCTTAGAGATGCAGCCATAAATTTACTTGGCTTGTAAATGCCATTAACTGTGTTCCATATGGAATTAATGATGGATGAACTGCCCTCATGTCAATTCAGAATCGGCTTTGGATATTATGTGCTTTCTTGGCAAATGTTTGGGAAGAACTCATCTGCTTCTGAGAGTTCTTTCCTGCCTTGTAATATTGCCATATGCTCTCCAATACAGTCACGAGCTCAGTGCTCTGTGGCTGATGCTCAGGAGGCAATATAATAAATGTATATATTGCCCTTTGAGAATTGTTCCAAATGCCTTCATTGGCAGACAGCCACTTGGAAATCCAACCCCCTCAAAAACAAATACACTAAGAAACAAGAGAGGGTATCATTTCTTCCAGAAGTGAAGTCATTCTCTAAGTTCCAACCCTTAAATTTTCAAAACAGCACCATCCATTCACAAAATGAGGGTATCAGCAGGCTCCAATGATCTCGGAGGTTTGTAGAAAGAAATTAAAAAACCCAAAACTATCCAGTGGAGTCTGAGCATGCTCAGGGGGCACAGAATGCTGACTGATGAGAGAAATGAAAGAAAACAGAATAACTGGGAAGATGGAGGAATGGAGGTGAGAACCTTCAAACAGGGCATGGCTCCCTGGCTGGAACCATAAAGAGGACTGGTTACAGGTCCTATTTTTTCATCCAGTTGGCTGGTTGGTTAATCTTGTCCCACAGTAATAGCAATTAACGAGTTCAGTGAGATGAAGGAGTTTAACGTTCATTTTGCACATGAATCAAGGCAGTTGGGTTAGGGCATCTGATGGATTGAACATTAACTGTTTATACTCAGAAACTCGTTTTACATTCTGAGCCAGAGAAGAACTTATTGAGGACATGTTGGTTGGTTCATAATATCTTGAAGCAAGTTTGACAGAATCACTACATGGAAACCTTTAAGCTGGATTCATCTTTGGTGTGACTGAGAGGCTTAAAAGATAATATACTCATTGTTAAACTAAAACAGTCTGTCTTCGTGGAAGTAGAAACATATCATTGCTTCAATCTTATTTTTATTCTGTCAGAGTACAATTCCCCTGTCAATGCTTGTCATGTTTCAAGGTTAAACACCATTCATTTGAAAAATAACATCAACTACAGGACTAACATACTGCATGTGGCCATTCTAAAGAAAATAAATATAATTCAGAACTGAAATTCATTGGCATAACCAGTCATAGACCTCACTTCTAAGTGTCTTTATATTTTGCAAGTGAGAAAACCACATGAACAAGCTGATGTTGATTTATAGCTAATGTGATGTTTGCTGTCATGTCTAATAAAAGAGGCCATAGAGCTAGCTGAATATCAATGTTGAAGATGTACATTTTTGGTGTACAAAGCATAGAACTCTGGCAATCTAGAATTGCCCCTCTGTTAATATCACAAATTAATAGAGCAGTAATTCCAGATTGACAGAGTATTCTAGTTATATAGCCCTTTTGAATTAATGAACAAATTAATGGGTTAATGAGAACAATCAGAATATTAACTTATGTTTATGGTCAAATAAATATTTCTTCAAATTATTGAATGGGTTATGTACAATAATTGCCTATGTTCACAAAAAGCATTTGTCTACTTTAAGGACCACTTCTCTAAGTTTCTGAACAAAGCTAAGAATTGAAAACATAACGGAATGGGCTAGTGTGTATTTAAAGAACATTATGATGGTGGCTTTTCGAAAAGTGTTACAAGGTCTGTCTGATCTGCGAACAAATTTAAGAGTTGTCACAAAAGCCAGCTTAGTAGCTATCGAGAAGGTATTTTAGCCATCTCAAATCCTGCCTGTATAGACTATGTCTATGTCATTCATCTGTGGATAGCTCAGTTGGTAGAGCATGAGCGTGGATTTGAGTTCACTGTTGGGCAAAAGATTCCTGCATGGCAAGGTGCTAGACTAGATGAATTTTGTAAAGGTAAAAGGTAAAGGTACCCCTGCCCGTACGGGCCAGTCTTGACAGACTCTGGGGTTGTGCGCCCATCTCACTCAAGAGGCCGGGGGCCAGCGCTGTCCGGAGACACTTCCGGGTCACGTGGCCAGCGTGACATCGCTGCTCTGGCGAGCCAGAGCCGCACACGGAAAACGCCGTTTACCTTCCCGCTAGTAAGCGGTCCCTATTTATCTACTTGCACCCGGGAGTGCTTTCGAACTGCTAGGTTGGCAGACGCTGGGACCGAGCAACGGGAGCGCACCCCGCAGCAGGGATTCGAACCGCCGACCTTTCGATCGGCAAGCCCTAGGCGCTGAGGCTTTTACCCACAGCGCCACCCGCGTCCCTAGATGAATTTTGTAGTCCCTTCCAAATCTACAGTTCTATGATTCTGTGACCCTTGAATCCAGTAGCAATCTAGACACATAGCTGGAGGCTGCAGAGGGACCAGCTATGGAGCTGGATCAAGCACAAGGCTCTGAGCCAGCTGATAGAGATCAGGAGGAGCCACAAGTTCCCCATCTTTATAAAATGCCTTTTTGTTGTTGTTGTTGTTGTTTAGTCATATAGTCGTGTCCGAATCTTCGTGACCCCAGTCAAAGCAATTTTCTGAACTGTGAGAAGGTTCAAGCAAAGTGCTACAGGTAAGAAAGATGGGATACCTGAAGGGGGCTTGTGGCTCATTGTCCTATGGTGCTGCAGTGATCAACTTTCAACATGTTCACTCTTGCCTTTCTGGTTTCTCTTTACAATACACCAACCAAAAGCTTGGGGGGGGGGACAAGTACGAGGAGAAAAACCCATAGGTGATGCTTTTTCATCCCCCTGGGCCAAAGTCATTCCTAACTGGTGGTCAGGAATAGCATAAACTATACTTCAGGAATGTAACAGTTTTGTGAGAGCCCCTATTTTTATAGCTTAGAAATCTGAACCAGTACATTTGACATGAGATCTCGACAGATCATCTGAACCTTCTTCCAGAATTAGGTTTACACTATTTTTATTTTTTTTGCTTCCTGCTAGTGCTTGTGCCTTAGAATAAATGCATGTAGGCGATCATGGCCAAAAAAAGAGGTGGGGGGAGAAAGAAGCCCTGTGACCAGATGTTTTAAAGTGAACCCTGAACCATTTCTCTCTCTCTCTCTCTCTCTCTCTCTCTCTCTCACACACACACACACACACACACACACACACACACAGCTGGCCAGAAGTAGGGCCTGTTATTTATCTAAGCATGTCAATGTGCTGACAGAGTACCAAAAAGAAAGATAGTTAGCAGAGCTCCACAAATATACTTTGTGTGTCATTTCCCTGAAGGCAGAAAGGTGAATGGGTCAATCACTAGTGAGGCATTTGCTTTAGGGGTGCAACATTTAGTCAATTAATCAGATTACACTTGATTGATTAAAAAGGTGCCCCCAATTAAGCAGGCAGCAGATTTTACTTTTTTAAAAGACAGCTTGGTTATTATTTTTAGTACAAGTAAACCACATGTGGCATTAGCTATCTTAGAAAAGGCATCTCTGTTCTGAGTCTGTCCCTTAGGTTCCTTGTCCCTCAACCCAACTATTGTATTTGAAGATATTGTTACAAAAGTTGGGTGCCTGCCCCTCTCTCTGCCGCACAGTGGCAAGAGCCCCTGGACTCCCAGGCACCCACACAGGGATGGAAGACAAATCAGTATGTGCCACTATTAGGGGTGGGAGAGCAATTTCTTCACATATAAAGGCTAACCCACCTAATTTTCACTTTCCAAAGTAACAAGTGGACTGAAATACAGACATCCTTCAAAATTCACACATCTCCGAGTTTTGAAATGCAGTTCTCCAGTCAAATAATGTGCACAAAAGTGCATATATTGGTGAAAAAGATATACAAAAACTTTCACTTCCTTTATCCACATCATCAATCAAACTGTTATGCCGGGAATTTTATTAAACTGCAGTAAAATTATTTAAAGTGTCAGAAATTTGTAAATGGTTACAGATATACTTGTTCTATACTTCCACCTGCTGGTCAATGGAGATGGACAAAAAGAGGCAAAATAAACATGGCATTGGCAGTACGGGCCATTCTTAATCTTCATGCTGCCTGCTGTCAATATTATTCAATGGAAATCACACATGGAAAGAGATATGTTATGCCTCTTGAGGCCCAGTTCCATAAATAGCACAACAGCAACAAGGAAAAAAACCCTCAGTATTTATATACTGAGAGATAAAGGTAGGGCATTTGATCTCACTTGTCCCTTTGATGCATATTTCCTTTTGTTGTATGAATCTCAGTGGTGCTTGTCTGTCATTTGACTATTAGAACAAGGCCCTAATTCATCCTTTGCAAAGATCAGACACTTTCCATACCCCACCTAATTTGCCTGCTGCACAAAAATGTGTGTAGATAAGCATAGAGAAAAATAATTGAAGCACAGGGAATTAGTGACTTCATCCACAGCTTCTGTTATGGGATGGGGATCAGTGACATATTTATGCAGAGCAATAGATCTGCTCCTTTGCAATCCAAACCTAAGCAGTCTTAGGTGGACTTAAGCATTGATATCAATGGGATTTACTTCCATGTAAGTATGTGTAGGCTTGCAGCTTGAGAGTGTAATTTTAAGGACACTTGGCAATTTTGAATCCCAGAGCTAGAAAGGACTGTTGATGAGTATCACTCAATCACAAAGATTTCTCTCTCTCTCTCTCTCTCTTTTTTTTTTTACAGTGTGACTCAATACCCAAATGCAACTGTGTGCATCTAAAAGCTGGAAGCAAAAGGAACATAAACTGAAAAGTGACCGTACATCAATTCTGAACATAGAAAACTACTTTATACCAGGTCAGTCTAGTTGTCCATTTGGCTTAGTGTCATCTAGTCTCAACTGGCAGCAGCTCTCTAGGGTCACAGGGAGAGATGAAAATAATTGTGAATTTGTTAATGTTTGGTTTTAGTCCTACTTTGAATTCATATATTTTTAAGTGGTTTAGAAATTTTCTGTACAAATAGATCAAAAGATAGCATACAAGGTTTTCAACATATCAAATGAATGGTGAATTGTTGTTGTTTTTTTAAACTATTTGCAGTGTCTTCCAAAAAATGTATGAATATTCATCAGGAATCAGCAAAGGCTAGTAAAATTATCCTACAGAAAAATATAATAATAATTCTAATACAAATATTCAGACATTGACTGAAATACATGTGGATGTTCTGCTATACAATATGGTCTACAAAGGATCGTAATCTCTTCTTCTGATTTGTTGAATAGCCACTACTTTATTCCACTTCCAAACTGAGCTTCCAAAATCTAAACCATGTTTCTGATCTTTCAACTTTCTGCCATGAGGCAAATTCAAGTAAAGCTATGTGACCTCATAAAACTCTTGGAATACAGCCTGGAGCTCAGACTAACCAAGTAAAAGTTTTTTTTACACTGCCATTGATGGATTGTGCTTAACCAATTAAGCAAAATGCAGAGTGCACCTACTTGATTGTACATAAGACTAAGGGGTGCGACTGATGATATGCTGAATGTGTAGCATGAAGCTGCTTCTCCCTTTTTTACTTTTTCCTAATTACAGGTGTGGGGGCAGGAACCTTCCTGGGAATGCAGCATGCTGTGGAGGGATGCTTAACTCTTTTCTCCCCAGCACAATCAAATCTAAAATCCATTCCACATTGATTAGAAATGTGGCAATGGGAAGTTTTGTTGTAAGCACTCTAGCCTTGGGGACGACAATTTTAGGTCCAGTCACACTGGGGAGGGAAGACATAAGTCTCACCTCACCATGTCACATTCCTGGTAAGGATCATCCTGCCTCCCACCCATTTTGGCACCTGTAATTGATAAAACTAAAGTGGGAGAGAGATGCTACATGCAACACATTAAGCATAATATGTAGGTTTTTCCCTTATCAGGACATGCTTCTGGTTAGGATCAGAGAGTAAATGGAATTTAAATAAAGTCAAGCATATACACGCATATTTAAAAGAGGGATTTTCCCAACCGCTTTGTTGATGTAAGAGTTATAGAAAGTGAACTGCAGAGGTGTCGGTTTCAAAAGTTTTCCTTCTTTCAGCAACTGGCACTACCATGAAAGTTTGCTTCTTCTGAGTGGGTTAGATTAGACAATTGGATAGTATAATGCACAGGCACAGCTCTCTGTAGAATCTCATTCTGTTTTAGTTTTGAGCAAACTAAACAACTTGACAAAACAACTGCATCATCACCCCACAAAGCATCATTTGAAAGCCAGGGGTACTTTGGAGACCCTCCTAGTGTCTCTGTTTTCCAGGGACAGTCCCAGATTTACAGAAGCTGTTCTGGTTTCTGATTTGATTCTGGAACATCCTGCTTTTCCTAGGTACCTATTTTCATCAGATAAATGTTGCAGGGTATGACTTTGTGGTGCGTATATGTTTATCTCACACGCATGCACACACACACACACACACACACACACACAGATTCTTGGGGATCACTGTAAGGATGGAACAGTAAATTAGGACTGTTGAGTAAATGATACTTGGAGATGGGAGGCTTTACCAGGGTGAATCAGAAGTAAAGCCATTGGGTCTGGGGCTCAAGTTGAAAGGGGGCCTCTAGATGTTGTTATTTTTTGGCATTTGATAAGTTTCAGTACCTGTTTTTATGTGCATCAGACCAAAATGTGACACAAACTCTCAGCTCAGAGCTGCAAATTGAAGCAAATAAGGAATGTGGTTTGGTAAAAGAAATACTTTTTTTCTTAACTGATGCAGATTTTGTCATATTAAAGAGTTTAAAATATTCATAAATATTACTTAAAAGATACTGGTTCTGAAGGCACAAAATAATGAACCACTACTAGCTGCTGGTACTGAATCAAGTGTTTTGGCAAGGCAACTACGACAATGGCTCACTTCTCCAAAAGGGTATGGGGAGAACCGCACTCACAAGCGACATGCACTGACCACATAAACTGACTAACAGTGTGGTGCTGAATTTTTATTAAGAGTGATATACATAAAGCTGACTTAGGTTGACCACACATGGCTGCAAAATTACAAGGAGCTTGGTTTCTTAATTTAAAAATAAATTAAAAGATTAGCATTTTGCTACTGAAAGGGCAAAAGCTAAAAAGATTAGCAATTTGCTTTTATAAATTCCGCCAATTAAAAAGCTCTTTCCTGATGATTGTTAACAGGAAACGTCTTTCCTGAATACTTAGAGTGATGTTATCATATTATAGTACAATGAATAGCTAAGGATGCCTTGTGCACGAGTTCTGTGACCTTTGGAGACCTGAGGAGACTCACATACTAGGAGTTCATTAAGTCATGATTAAAGGGTAAAAGCTCACTTGACTGCACAATTCTGGGACTGTAGGCTGTTCCTTGAACAAACATTCTTGGCAAATAGCCCCTTCTCACCAAGTTTCTGTCAGCAAGGGAATAAATGGGTTTTGTTTTGTGTTTTTTCCACATTTGGGGGAAAATAATGTTGTTCTTGCATCCGAATACACTACACAGCTTCTCTTTTGTGCAAAAGAAAACAACCCTCCTCTCATTTAAACTAATTTATAACTTTTGAGCTGAGATTACAAACCTGAAAATGTATTTGTTAGGCATTCAGAGATTTAACTGTAACAGCCTCTCTCCAAGTTGTGTTTAAAGCAAAGTTGCCTCCCCCAAATCATTATAAGATTGATTTGCTCATGTCAAGGGTCCATGGCAGACAAATACAAATACAAAAACCAAAAGGAGTAGTCAAAACTGTATCCAGTCTAAAATGTTCAATTTCAACAATAACCTACTTAGCAGTAAAATCCTAAACATATTTACTCATAAGTAATGTTTATGGAATTTTTGTAAGCAACTTAGAGGCTTTCTTAACAATCAAGCAATTTTGTTAAATAAATCTAATGGGACCCACAGTGCGATTCTAACAATATCTGCTCAGAAGTCCTACTGAATTGAGGAGGTCATTTAAGTGGAGTAGGACTGAAGCCTTATCCCTTAGTAATTGTGTTTAGGATTGGAGCCCTTAGAGGAATCATAGGTGTGTCCACTCAAAAGTAAGTTTCATTCAGTTCATTGAGGCTTACTCCCAGGTAAGGATAGGATTGCATCCATAATGTATTACATGCATATTAGAATTGGTTTTCAAAGGAACTCATTTCTAATATTTAATCAGGCACAATGTAAGCATTAATAATTGTAGTGAGATGCTTAATTGTAATGAAAGCAGAGTAGGTTCCTACTCTTGTGACTCTGGGAAACTAAGTAGGGTCTTTTGTAGGTGGGGGGCAACAGCAAAGAGATTCTTTCATGCACTGGCTTTTTCCTGAGTATGGAAAATAAGTAAACAAATAACATGGTAAATCCCATCCCACATATGCGGTGCCTCCCCTGAATTAGTAACTAATTTAAGAAGAGTATCCATCCAGAACACCAGCAGGAGAGCCCATTTAGGCAGTGTTGGCTCCAGGTTTTGCCAGGGGTGGGGTTGTCCTTGGGCAGGGTGCCCTTTTTTCTCCCTGCAGTTGCCCACTTCCTCCTCTTCTGCCAATCCCCACTATTGCCCAGAGAGAAAAAGCAGATGAGTGAACAAGGAAACACAGGCTGCATTTCCATCTGTACTCCATTGTCTGCTGGTGCTCTCCCTCTGAGCCAGAGAGACAAAGCCAGTGAGTAAACAAGAGAAGAAGAAGCAGAGCCTTTGGTTTCTAGTAGCTAGCAGGTAAAAGGTAAAGGGACCAGGGACGCGGACTTATAAAAAATATTGGGGGGGCCCGGGAAAGCTCATGAATAATAAATAAGCTCATGAATATGCAAATAAAGTGGCGCCGCCTCCTCGTGAGCGAATAGGGGAGAGCGTGCTGCGCCTATTAATCAGCTCCAAAGGAAATTGGGTGGAGCTTTTGCTCGGGAGGGAGGGCAGGAGGCATGCAGCCCGCCCCTCCCTGTGCATTTTGGGCTGGGGGAGGGGCGGCGATGGCGCTCTGCTGGAGGGGCGCCGGAGATTATTGGGGGGGCGGAGCCCCCCCAAACGAATTTTTGAGGGGGCTCGGGCCCCCTCAAGCCCCATGGAGTCGGCGCCTATGAAAGGGACCCCTGACCATTAGGTCCAGTCGTGGCCGACTCTGGGGTTGCGGCGCTCATCTCGCTTTATTGGCCAAGGGAGCTAGCGTACAGCTTCCGGGTCATGTGGCCAGCATGACTAAGCCGCTTCTGGCAAACCAGAGCAGCACATGGAAACGCCGTTTACCTTCCCGCCAGAGCAGTACCTATTTATCTACCAGCACTTTGATGTACTTTTGAACTGCTAGGTTGGCAGGAGCAGGGACCGAGCAATGAGAGCTCACCCCATTGCAGGGATTCAAACCGCCGACCTTCTGATCGACAAGTCCTAGGCTCTATGGTTTAACCCACAACACCACCCATGTCCCTAGCTAGCAGGAGACTCTCTGAATAGGTATGGGCAATAGTACCCAGTGATGCTGTCTCCTTAAACCACCCTCTTCACCTCGGTAAACAGGAGCACATAGTTTAATTAGACGGACAAATTGGCTCTGGATACCACCAACGCTTGGAATTGGGAAGACATGTGAACACCCCACTCATGCCACCCCACTGACTGCTATTGTCAATCAGGACTGAGCATGCTCAGTGGCTGTAGAATGCTGACTGACTGTTGTGGGGCGGGAGCAGAGTTGAGTGACTGGTATACTAGACAGCAGCACTCTGCCATGCAATGTTCTGTTATAGATCCTGTAGTTCTAAACGTCATTCTAAAATGCCTCATAACGTATTATCAATGTCTGAAGAAGTGTACATTTAACATAAGAGCATG